GGACAGATTAGTACGTGAACAGCTACGGTTTTGCATGGGAAGCGTGATGGCGGAGGTATGCCCTAGAGAACGTGAGGACGCAGAGGGAAGGAGGAATCTCAGCTTTGCCAGGAGACTCATGAGGGCAGGAATCAGAGAGCTTGTCAACACCATGGGGTATGAAAGCTGTGTTTGGTTTCTGGACCTAAAAGAGGACTGGACATTCATATCTATTGAATATGACTTTATTTTTCTAATTACTGTTTATTGAGCACTAGCTGTATGCCAGGCACTGTGCCAGGGCCAGAGATATGGTAAGAACCAAAGCCCAGCCTCCAGAGCTTATGTCTAGTGGAGGAGGGGTGAGGTTAAGCAAACTGTCCACCTCTGAGGGGAGCGATGAGGGCTCGGTGCGGTAGTGACAGCATGTCGTGCACTGTGTGGCTGCTATGTCTCAGCAGTCACTGTAACCTGAGCTCCTTAGTGTTTCCTGATGCCACTACTGGCTAAGCCCCCTCCTGGGCACACAGATATAGCTGCAGACACCGGCAGGCCCACCACGCCCCTGCTGGCACAAGAGCATGTGGAGCACTGAAAGGTTGAGACTTGGAGTGGTGTGAGAGCTTCTGGGCACAGAGGGGAAGACGCCATGCCTCCTCCCTCCCCTGCATGCAGGTCCCCACACAGTGTGGTGTTGGGAGGGCCATGGCAGTGGGGACATCTATCTCAGTGTCCATTTTGAAACATAAGCTTCTTTCAAGGTGGCCTTTGATGACATGGGAACACTGAGAAGTGGCAGGTGGGGCTTGGGGTCAGGATAAGGCCTTGCCTGGCAGCCAGGGCCTGCTGGGGACAAGGCTGAATTAGGAAGAGGTGGGTGAGGACTGTAGTGACCAGGTTGCATTGTTCTGTGACTTTTTGTTGTTTCTTACTCTTTATGTCACCTTTTTGTAGCTCTTTAGTTAAGGTCAATATTCTCTTCTTTTGATTCTAACCTAGAAAAATGTTGACAACAGCTATCATTGAGCCCTTCTCATGTGTCAGAACTAGGTGCAAAGTGCCTCATTAACCTTCACCATAATTCCCTAAGCCTAACCCCAGAGACACATTTACAGGTGGACGCAGAGAGGAGAGGCATTTGGCAGATGCAGGATTAAAACCAGAACTGCCTGATGCACTTCCCTGATCTGTGTGGTGGTGACGGCCACCTGTAGCTCTGGGTTTGTCCCTCTGCTCCACCCTGACTGTAGTAAGCTTTTGGGTGGCCATATGTCCTCAGGGTATACATGGGGTGGCAGAACTTGTGAAACTAGGATGGGAATTTCTCAATTTCAGGGAAAAACGGCTTTTGACAAAGCATCTCTCATTCTCCCATTGACATTCCTTTGCATGTTGAGCCCAGAACATTCTCCTTCACCTGCATTTTCCCTCCATGAGCCTGAGTTTCACTTCTCCAGGATGCCCTCCCTGGTCGTCCCAGTTTTCTCTTCTTTTTCTGGCCAGACACAGCATCTTGCCTTCGCCTTTGCCACTTCTCACAGGCTGCATGCATGATAAGTCACTCTCAGAGGCCTGTGCTGCCCAGAGGACTGTGTTATTGCCTTTGGCATCCCTTGGATGTGACCTAGGCTGTCCTAGGTGAACATAAGGGACAGCAAATAAAAGTTGTTCAAAGAGATGGCTCTAGACAGTTCGGAGCTTTCAGGCCAAGTGAGTACTCACTTCTAGGACATTGGGGGCAGCTTAGACATCCACAAGTCCCCAGGTACCCCAAGGGCCCACCAACAGTGGTGGAGTAGAAACCCCAAAGCAAGCTGTGACACTCCTACCCTCTTTGGTCAAATATGTCCTCATCACCCATGAGTAAAGGAAAACAGAAAAGCAAAGTCAGAGTGAGAAAATCAGGACCTCTCAGGTAGAATAAGAGGGAAGATTCAACTCTTACAAGAAGTCAGCAGAGAATTCTCCAAGGCCCCCCAAATCCACAGCCCATCTGCCTGTCAGGGCACTCATCTGGGTCCCTTTTATAGACATATGGGAGTTGCATGGTGGTTTCATGGATCAGAAAGAGGAGGAGTACAGTTCACTGTTTGACTTGGTTGTTCTCTGAGTGAGGCACAGCACGTTAATGTTCAAGCTGATCCTCGATTAACACTCAGGACATTTGGGCTTTTTAATTAAAAGAAAGTATGAAAAGAAAATAGGTCAATGGACCTTTCTGAAAAGTGGTCCCAGTGAAGCCAAAGGCTTGCCTTGGAATCTCCAGCTTTCTCAGGGTTAATAGAATTTAGATCACATTGAGATTTAGATCTCAGAAAGCTCCGTCTTTTTTCACTGACCCAATTTCAGAAATAAAAATTGATCAGCAGACCAGCTGGGCATGCAGACACAGACCACAGCATTTGCATGGACTGTTAAGAGTGTTATTCTCAGCTTCTGGCAGAGGAGCCAGGCACTTCCTTGCATCCGAAACGGTGCGCTTCTGAAGAATAAACCCCTGTCTTATCACCTGTGCATGAGGCTGGAGAGACAGGCCCGACCACCAGGTCAGGGAGAAGCCAGGTAGGAAAATATAACAGGGTTGAGGGGGACCTTGTAACATCTGTCAACTCTGCTGCTGAGGAGCACTGTACAGGGACTGTGAAGAAAGGTGGTAATGTGGGGAGGGGAATTCCAGAGCCGCTCAACTGAATGCATTTTCTGAGTTTCCTCCTTCACTTGCCAATGGACTAGGGGAAAAAAATGTGCATTACTGTTTTTTTTTAAAATTAAGACATAATTTACATACCATAAATGCATAGCTCTTAAGTGTACAGTTTGATGAGTTTCAATAAATAAGTACATCCATATACCCAGCAGCCCAATCAATATCTACAACCTTTCCATGACTCTAGAATTTTCCCTCATGCCTCTTTCCCGGGAATAGCCTCCAGAAGCAACAACATTCTGTTCTGATTCCTCTCACCACATCTGAGGCTTCCCTGCTCTGGAACCCCATGTGCATTAAATCATGCAGTGTATATTCCTTTGAAACTGTCTTATGTTGCTCAACCTTTTGTTTTGAGATTCATTCATGGTATTGGGTCTATTAGTAGCTCATTTTTTCACTGCTGAGTAATAGACCATTATACGGTTATTCCACAGCTTGTTTATCCATTTACATTTTGATGAGCATAGAAAAAAAAATTTCAAAGACTCAAGGAAGGAAAAAAATGTATTTTGAGTCAGAATTAATAAATTCATTTGACAGATGTTTGTTAAATGCCAGCTGTATGCTAGATGTGGTGCTGGGCTCTGTGAATGCCACTGTCTCAATAGAATGCCTGGTCTCACGGCACTTAGATTCTAGTAGGAGATGCAGGTAATGAACAAGCAACTGGATACATGACCAAGATAACTTAAGATTGTGATCAGTTCTATGAAGGCAATACACTTATGGAAAGTAACCTAAAGATTCCATTTTTAGGACAGATCCTTTGGTATAGTCCTTTTTTTTTTTCTAAATTCAAATTGCTATTAAGATTACTAATCTGATGAAAGAATAATTTGCACAAACGTATGATTTTCTGCCTTAAAAATATTCACTAGTCAGTGAGTCAGGGTAAAGTGTGAAATCCCTTTCTTCTTTGCCCTGTGGTTTTTCAAATCTTTTTCCTCTTAGTGGAGCACCTCTTGGTATTACATATATATTAGTGGTTGTTCAATGAAGATTTCTTAAAAATAAGAATCCTGGTTCAAAGAAGTGAAACCAAGAAACACATGTGCTGTGGGGTTTGAATTATTTCCTCCCCAAACAACAACCACTCTCTCTTTATTCAAGATTCGAGATACAAATATTTTCAAAGGAAGCTGTTTCCCCCCTTGAACCCTAGGCATTCTCTAGTGAGTTCTACCGTCTGCATTGTTCAGAAAGAGGAAGAGGGGTGCACATGGAAATACTTCAGCACCCTATAATAAAGTAGTTCATGGCACAATTAAAATGACGTAGTAGAACAGTAACATGATATGCTGAATTTAAATAACTAAAGCTGATTAAGGAGGGCATCAGAATTAAATACTTGATGGAATTGACATAACAAATGCAAGGTGGCCTCTCCACGTCTCAGCAGAGGGTGGCACCAACCATTGATATTTTCCAGGCAAATTTGTTGATAGATAAAACATTTTTATAGACTTTCCATTATTCCTTGTAGCCATCAGCTTTTAATTTTCTCTTTCTAGTTAATGTACTTGTGTATAATTTAAGCAGAAAACGGTTCTGTTTCATCATAAAAGATTTGCCCGTGACTTTGGGTGTGTAAATCGAGAGGACAGCATAACATTCTTGAACTTGTTTTTTAAGGCATTTGTTGACAACAACAGAAAAGAAGATCACAGACACCGCCAATAAGCGTGGACATCAATTATTTTTTAATTGTAGAGGAGTACAGTACACTAATTAAAACTAGTATATCTTGCAGTGCCAAAGGCAAAATTAATTATTAATTTTTATTAATATTCAGAAGTAGTACAAGGAATGCATTAATAAAGATTTGGTGGTTGTGACTGAGATCTTGTTTAGCTTTACGTTTTAGAAAAAAAAAAAAGAGGAAGAAAAAGGTTTGCTGGTTCAATCTGAATAGCGAAGCCTGCACCAAAGGGATGATCTTTATTGAAATGGAATATGCTCTCCAGAGTGGGTATTTAGTGACACACGATGAGACGTGGAGGAAGATTATGTGAAAGCCCCCAAAGCTTGTCTATAATGGTTTGACTTGACAACTCTACATTCACCTGTAAAATTGTTATTGTCACCTTAGATACTTTTGGTTATTAAATTGGATATTTTAGTTAAGCCATCTTGAGTTGACATTTAATAATTCATTTAGGTGCTGTGCACAGAATATTATCCAGCTCACCAAATCCGAGATGAACAGAATTAGTTTTGTGCACTAGAAAGGTTTTGACAAGACTTTCTCCTTCTCTCCCCTCTCTCCCCTCCTCCTTTCCCTCTCCCTTCTCTCTTCCTCTCATTCCAGAAGTCAGTCTCTAAGGCTCTCTTGTCTACCTGGCAATGACAGAAGAACATTCATGGTCATTAGGCAGGGGTCTTTAAGCCTACCTAGGTGCAGTCTTAAAACTGTGTAAGATGTAGATGAACCATAAATCTGTGTTTCCTTTTGTGCAATTGATGGTCTCTCAATTTGTGTAGCCTCTAATTCGGTATCTTTCATGTCTGCTTCCTTTTAGGAGGAATTTTGCCTTTGTAAAGTCAGTACCAATAAAAACCTTCAAAAAAACCAAACGTTTTGACACTGTAATGGCAGGAGGGCTGCTGTTGGGAGGGTGGGCTGTTTAGCCACAAGCTCTGAGATTCCCTAACACATGCCCATTGCCCCCATGGGCAGAGCTATCAGACCACATCCTCCTTTGCCTACCATGTGGGGAATGCTGTGCCACGCACAGCTCAATCCAGTATGCTCACGCATCTTTGGGGTGAAAAGGAGAGGAACAGAGCATTCACAGCTACAATGAAGCTACAAGCAGTTGTAGGCAACACTGTATGGTACAGCATATGCACAGTTCATGCCTTCTCTTCACGCCTCGGAATACAACAGGACTCCCCGTCAAGCTCAAGCTGTCACCATTCCCTTGGGAAGGCAGCTCTCTGAAGAATGCTTCTTCCACCTGATGGTCCACCTTCCAGAATGCTGCTCCTGGGAAACAGCAGCAGGCCAGTCTGGGGAGGCGTGTGCTCCCTCTGACGTGTTGGAGAATTTACTCAGAAAGTAGGAGGAAAAGTGGATCTGACTTCACACTGTCAACCTCTGGCTGGATTCTGTCTCAGAGTAGATCTGGCCATGCTTTCAGAATCATCATGGAATCCAAATAAATGCCTGGCTGTGTAGGTTCATTTCCTTCCACAGTAGTCCAGTGGGACGTGAAGGCAGTGGGCTCCCTCTTGCCATGGTGTGCGATGCATCTGCTGCCTCCCCATTGGGCTGAAGGGAGATCCCAGGCCCTGCCTCCTAGAATTTGAAATGCTTAGCATCTCATGTTACCAGAGGGTACTGTTTTGCCTTTTTTCTTTATTCTTCCAAAATCACATGGGTGAATATAGAATGTATGCTAGCTATTAATGGGGCATTATGATGAGTCGTTAAAACATATATATGGGCCGGCCCGGTGGCACACTGCTATAGTGCGCCGCTTGGGAAGCGCGGTGGCACTCCCGCCGAGGGTTCGGATCCCACATACAGACTGGCCGCTCACTGGCTGAGCAAGGGGCGGGGGCAACACCGAGGGTTGCGATCCCGTGGCCGGTCCTGGTCCGGTACGGGCGCGACACTGAGGGTTGCGATCCGTTGCCGGTCACGAGAAAAGACAAAAAGGAAAAAAAAAACATATATATATATATATTTATTTATTATTCATTAATTGAAACAATTAATGAGCTCCTATACCATTCCAGGGGTTTTCCTCAGCCCTGGGGATTTGGAACGAAGAAGGAAGGTAAGTGTACTGGTCAGCTATTGCTGCATAACAGACAACCTCAAACTCAGGGACTTAACAGCAACCATGCATTATCACCCATGTGCCTGTGAGATGGCTGGGATCTGGATCATCTATAACGGGCTTGACCAGGCAGCTCTGCCTCAAGGTAGGATTGCAAGGGGGTACTAGCATGGCTCTTTCCACCTGTCCCTCATTCTTTTTGGACCAGAGAGCTAACTGAAACATGTTCTCCTCATGGCATTATCAGAGGCACAGGAGAGACACAGTGGGCCTCTTAAGGCCTTGTCTCAAAACTGGCACAGTGTCATTTCCATCCACATGCCATTGGCTAAAAGTAAATCATGTAGCCAAGAGTAAGGGAGTTATATGCCACCCATGATGAGGCCACAGCAAGGGTGTGGATGGCAGAAGTTGCAATGGAGGCCAACAGGTAAACCTACCATGGAAGGGTATCATTTCAGATTCTTCATGCCATTGATGGTCACAAAAAAAGGGGTATTAGTAGGGTTAGGCTGCTACAACAAAAGAGTATAAATGGGATAGCTTGTAAACAACAGAAATTCATTTCTCACAGTCTTGGAGACTGGGAAGCCCAAGATCAAGGATGCTCTTGGCTCCTGCTTCCATGTGACAAATCTACCTTCCCACTGCAGGTCTAGGGCCTGATTCTGTGTCTGCCCTCAGGAGCAATGAGTTCAAAGCTGCCAGACTCTGGACTCTGCAGCAACTGGCTGGGTATGTGGTCTGAGACTAGACAGAGGAAAATAGGAAGCCTCATGTTGACTCTAGATACAATCAAGCTCTGCAAACAGCCATGCTGATATTTTAATCCCTCCCTAACCCTACTTCTTCTTTCTTTGAGGACTCAGAGAAGAAGGGCTCTGATTAGCATCACAAATGACACTTAGATTCTGCCCTTGAGGAGCTCCCAGGGTGGCATGGTGCCCATACAGGGATGATGTAAGAACCAGGGCCTTGACAGGCCTGCACACAGGACCGTCTCTTTTACTGGAGTTCACTGGAATGCTGCATCTCCCTCCCCTCTACACCTCAAACATCTCCTGATTACTCTTCCCATTGATGCAGTGTGGAGGATCTCAGACTCCACGTCACTGTGTGGTGACCGGTAGTGCCCACCGAAAAAGAACATAACAGAATTAACAATAACACAAGCAACAGGATCAATGGAGACACTCCAATGAGATAAGTCAGGCCCAGGGTATTGGTTTGTTTTTTTAAATCTTCATCTATATAGTTTCTCCATCTATGTAGATCCTAGTAATCCAAGTCATTGCTTTTTTTCCTCCGGTCCTACTGCCAGTGTCCCAGCTCTTCCATGCACTAGCTCTGTGACTGTGTATGTTACTTACCCTTTCTAAACTTGCAAGATGCAGGTGAATACAGGGCCCACCTCTTCAGATGGTCATGAAATTCCATGAGTGTCTAGTGGACTGGAAGCACCTAGTGCAGCACATGGCTCTCAGGAAGCACTCGGTACAGATGGCCATTAGTTTCACCATCAATCTAGTGCATGTACTCTTTGAGGTAGAGGTTGGCAGAGACTCAAGTTGGGTCCTCCCTTGTACAGATGTGAGACTTATTAATCATGGTCTTTCATCTTTGCTTACAGCTATGTGAAGCTGCTTCTCTAAGCAGATTTGGGGGAAGATTTGTTTTCATAAATCATGTTTATATGTTCCTGAGGCTTTGTTTACTCGAATAGGGACAAGTTAAGGTCATTAGGGTACATGTCAGTAAGAATGGGTGAAAGAGGTGAATGGGTGGAGAATCATGGTCTTTCATCTTTGCTTACAGCTATGTGAAGCTGCTTCTCTAAGCAGATTTGGGGAAAGATTTGTTTTCATAAATCATGTTTATATGTTCCTGAGGCTTTGTTTACTCGAATAGGGACAAGTTAAGGTCACTAGGGTACATGTCAGTAAGAATGGGTGGAAGAGGTGAATGGGTGGAAGAGGAAAAAGTTTAGAGGAGTTCTTTGGTACACACAAGAGGAGGAACTGACCGAAGAACCTGGCCTCAAAGTCAAAGGTGGGGCTATTTCACTGTGTAAGGGACAGACCCAAAGCAGAGCTGGGTAAGGCTTCTTCTCCCAGATCCTGAGGTCGTGCAAGTCTATGAGAACCTCATCCTGATCACATGGAGTGCTTCTAGCAGGAATATCTCTGGTCCCTAATGCTGGATTCAGAGGATATCATGTTGGCAATGGCTCTGCTGAAAGCACAGAGCCTTAGACATTGGATAGCTACTGGGAATCAGATGTTGTCTAAGAAAGTTTACTATGCTTGCTTGGAACTCCTCACAGGAATAGTTTAAGGTCCTTTCATCAATGGGGAAGAGTTTTCCTCTCTGAGACTTCTCATGCTACCTGCAGGGCCAGAACAAGTCCTAAAGATGCAGAAATTCACCTGAAAAGCAGAACATGAGATGGTGTCTAATGTGGCTTAGATAAGCTTCACAGTCACTGGGAAGGCTCTAAACCAGGCTTTTGACCAGTGGACATTAGTCTGACCCACAAAAATTTTTTTGAACTGTCAAACTATTCTGCTATACTTATGTACTCACATACAGAAAAATTCCTTTTTTTTTTTTTTTTCGTAAAAATCCAATTTACCTGTTACTTCCTCTGTAAAACTTCTCTAGCAACTTTACTGGTCATTTCCACACGAATTCCACCTTCAATCCCCATTCATATCTCCATGGCATCACCCAGCCTTATGATTGTGGGTGAAGTCATAGAACTGACTAGAGACCATGAGCACCACAAGCACCCCGAGGCAGGGTATGCATCCTCTTCCTTCTGTATTCCCAGTCCTGACACAGCACTGGCTCTGAGACAGTTTCAGGGAAGGTGGGGATGAGATGAAAGAACACATTCAGCACAGGTTTAATGATTGGAACAAATCATTGGATTGGATCAGCCACTAACTATGTTAATCACCTGGTTAGAGTGAGTTGACTAGTCTTACACTCATATATAATTGAGAGTAGATTCACACTAAGAGGTAAGAAGAGCATCCCAATAAATGAGAGAGGCCTCATTCATTCATTTAGGAAATAATTATTAGTCATCTACCGTGTACAAGGCCATGCCATAGGCACTAGTGTTAAGTTTATCACTAGTACTAGCATCACTAGGCTTTAGTATATAGGTGCATCAGTGAAAAAAATAGATAAAATTCCCTGTTCTCACGGAGCTTACATTCTAACTGCAGGGAGACAGACAAAAAACAAATAAACTATCAGATAGGTCAGTTGGTGTTAAGTGCTGTAAGAAAATTAAAGCAAAGAGGGTTTATAGAGAGTGCCACAGGGGCAAACATAGCAGAATGAAATAGGTGGTTGAAGGATCTCACATAGACTGTGACATGTGAGCAGAAGACATGAAGGAGTGAGGGACGGCCATGCAGGTAACTGAGGAAGAGCATTTCAAGCAGAAACTGCAGCACATGCAAGGGCTACAAGAAATATTCAAGGAAGTTTTTTGGGTAGAGGAAAAATAACACCAACTTGAAACTCAAATCTGTAAAAAGGAATTAGGAGCATCAGAAATGGTAAATAACTGAGTAACTATAAAATATTTTTTTTTTATTTTATAAAATATGAGATCTTTGTAAGGATATAAATGCAGGTATAGGTAGTTGTGTCATTCAAAGTACCTGTAGAGTTAAAACTGTATGGGCGCAATAGCATAAAGGATGGGAGGATAGGAAGGGAAAAGTGGAGGATACTATTCTAAGATTTTTATATCACACATGAAATGGCATAGTAGTAACTGAAAGTAGCCTATAAAAATGTAAAGATACACATGGCAAACCATAAGCAATCACTAGAAAATGGAACAAAAAGGCATATCGAATCAGCCATAAGTGGAAATAAAATGGAATACTAAAAAGTACTCAATTAATTCAAAAGAAAGTAGGAAAAGAGGGAAAAAAGCAAAGAACAGATGGGGAAAATATATAAAAAAATAGTGAGAGGGTTGACTTAAACCCTACCGTATTAATAATGACATTAAATGTAAATCGTCTAACATACCAA